ACAGACAAGATACTTTGATTTTATTTTTTTATACAATTTTTTTTATGTGTTCTAATATATTTTTTTTCTTTTCAGATGATAAATTATATAAAAACTGTTCGAATGTTTTTCTTCCGAACGCTTTCGGCTATACATTTAGCCATTTTTATATAATAATGGAAGCCTTATTAATAAAAACAAAAACAAAAATAAAAAAACAACACTCAATAATATCAACTATGAACATGAACACAATATCTTGACCGTGTTTTGAAAAATGAAAACATTATATAAATACATACATGCAACAAAAAATTTCTCATTTAACAATTAAAATATTTCATCCTTGAAAATGGCTAAACGTATAGATGGAAAAAAGAACATTTCAACAGTTTTTAAATAATTTATCATCAGAAAAGACAAAAAACATTATTAGAACTCATGAGGCAAGTCAAAGCACCTTGTCTGTCGTATACAATGAAATCTATCTCTCTATCTATCTATCTCTCTCTCTCTCTATATATATATATATATATATATATATATATATATATATACACACACACACACACACACACACATATATATATATATATATATATATATATATATATATATAATATTGTCCTGAAGAAGGTTATTAAACCGAAACGTCAGACGTCGACATTTCATTCATATTAAAACAACATAATCGCATTTTAAGGATTTTTGTTTTGTTTTTCCAGATATTTTTTTCATTCTGTCGGATTTATATCCATTTATATTTAAATTATCATACTGTCCACTGGAAATACAAACCTGAATTCATTTTATTACATGGAGGACTGCATAAATATCCGAAGATACAGGAATCTACTAGCCTCCGCGTATTCCTACAAGAACAGAAAATGATTTTCTAACGAACTGTATATATGAAAAATTTTCCATCGGAATCAAATTTATAAAAAATTTTTAAGAATACGTTTTCAAAGCGTCGCCCATTTGACGACAACGTGACCACGCTCAAATTGGAAAAGAACATCATTTAAAATTTTCATTTATCTGTTTTGGATAAGACTTGATTTTATGTCCATTGTTTTCGTCGTGTTATACTGATTATGTTAATTGTATTTTTTAATGAATATTGTCCTGAAGAAGGTTATTAAACCGAAACGTCAGACGTCGACATTTTTTTTCATATTAAAAATCAAATAAATCGCATTTTAAGGATTTTTGTTTTGTTTTTCCAGATATTTTCTTCATATATATATATATATATATATATATATATGTGTGTGTGTGTGTGTGTGTGTGTGTGTGTGTGTGTGTGTGTGTGTGAGTTAAAGAATAAATAAAAAGATCCATTTCGGTTATAATTTATTTCGTGAATATTTCTATATATTCATCTTTACGTGTCGAAATTTCTTAATAAATGAGGACAATTTATCCGGACTGATATACTATATATATATATATATATATTAATTATATTGTGTTAAATTCTTACTAAGATTTCCACTTCCGTCTAAATCATTTACTACAACTAGTAGACTTTTCAAAGTTAATTCTTGTTTTTTGTTTTTTATCCGACTACATTTGACTTGATTCAAGAATGCCCTAATCAAGAATTTTTCAAAAATTGTCTTTTGTGGAACTGTGTTTTGATAATTTCCGCGTTTCCTTGTTTGCTGGAAACAATTTCAAGTCACTTAAATGTGACGCCATTGTAAATGGTCATAAACACACACACATACACAAACATTTATATAAACGCATATATATATATATATATATATAAACAAATCCATAAATTTAAAAATATATATATATTTTTTTAAATTGTTTTCCATAGATATCTCATTATTATATTTCAACGCCTATATAGATATACACAGAGGCAGAAAAAGTACATGAGTGTCGACGCGTGTACTCTCTCACAGGCATTTACTGTCAGTGTCTAAGATATAATTAATTAACATGCATAAAAAAGAAAGAAAATATGGGAAATGACGTCAGAATGGAATTTGCAGAATGGAATGGCAAATTAGAGGGGGAAAAGACGCCATTGAAGGAAAGAAAGAAAAAAAAAGGGACAAAATACGAAGAAAGAAAGAAAGAAAGAAAGAAAAGGGGTGAACCGAATGAAAGAAAAAGGCAAATAAAGAAAGAATGAAAGAAAGAAAAGTAGCGAACCAAAAGAATGAAAACGCAAAGAAAGAAAGAAAGAAAGAAAGAAAGAGAGAGAATGAAAGGAAAGGAAATGACAAAGAAACAAAAAAGAAAGAAAGGATCTTAATTGTTAGAAATATGGCCAAAGAAAGAAATCTTTGGGGGAATTTTTTCAACTGAATTTTGGAAAAGTCAAATAAAGAAAGAATAAAGTGAAAGAAAAATAACCAATTTTCATTGTTTTCTTCTTTTTGATAAGAAAGAAAAAAAGAAAAAAGAAGAGAGAGACTGAGAACGAAATGAAAGGAAATGAAAAAAAAAAAAGAAAAAGAAATTTAAACAAGAGGAACAAAAAGAAAGAAAGAAAAAAAAAAAAAAAAATGAAAGAAATTAAGAAAGTTTTGAAAAAATAAAAGAAAAAAGAAAAGAAGAAAAAAAAAAAAGAAAAAAAAAAAAGAAAAAAAAAAAGAAAAAGAAAAGAAAGAAAATTTGTTAGAAATAAAGAAAAGAAAAAAAAGAAAAAAAAAAGAAAAAAAAAGAAAGAAAAGAAAAAAAGAAAGAAAAAAAAAAGAAAAAAAAAAAAAAAAAAAAAAAAAAGAAAAAAACATGAGGAGTAAACCAAATATAAAAAAAAAAAAAAGAATGAAAAGAGCAATGTAAGAAAAAAAAAAAGAAAAAATATGCCAAATGAAAAAAGACATTGAAGAAATAAAGAAAGAAAAGATGAAAGAAAGAAAAAGAAAAAAAAAGAAAGAAAGGAAAAACAAGGAATTATGAATGGAAAAAAAACATTTAAGTAAATAAATTAATAAATAAATAAAAGAAAGAAAAATTTATAAAAGAAAAATAATATAAATAAAGAAATAAATAGAAAGAATGAAATTTTGCAAATGAAAAGAAAAAAGAAAAGAAAGAAAATAGAAGTAAAGTATGAAAAAAGTGTTGGAAGAAAAAAAAATAACGAAAAAAAAAAAAAAAAAAAAGGAACATAAAATATGAAAATGCAATGAAAGAAACAGAAAAAAAAAATTTCTTTTTATTTCTTTTGAAATAATGAAAGAAAGAAAAAAAAGAAAGAAAAAAAAAAAAAAACGAGTGAACAAAAAGAATGGAAGAAGGAAAGACAATGAGTGAAGGATTTAATATATATATATATATATATATATATATATATATATATATATATATATATATATATATTTAAGTTAAAAAACTTGGTAATCCGTATGGGTAGTCCTAAGGAGGATGAAATCCTGAGAGCTCAATGTAAATTCAGAGCTAATAATTTAAAGATAAACAGATCATTTTAAGGCTCCATTGTAATAATTTATTTCACCAGAGCCCTTTTAAGGGATGCTGGATCCTCAGACATTACTTCCAAAAAGTTGAAAAATGAAATGTATGTATGTATGTATGTGTGTGTGTGTGTGTGCATACACAGGTGCGATGGATAAGTTATCGTCTAAATGACGCAAAAATGAAAATGAACACATTTTAATAAATACATTTACCCAAACTGCACAAAAATATCTTGTAATACTAAAGAGTAAATTTCTTCAATAAAATTGCCATTGGTTTCATCCATGGCCTCCAGACGACTTCGAAATCTCCTGCAACTCATCTGGACAGTGTCATTATTTAAGCTGGTGAATGTTGCCATAATCCTTGCCTTCAATTCATCTCTGCGCCCCACACATGATAATCAAGGGGATTGCAAGTCTGTGGAGTGAGGTAGCCAGATGTAAAGGGTGATGTGGACGCAGAAATTGTTCTCTACTTGTATGGCATGATGCAGAGTTCTGTTGGCAGCCATAGGGTCCACAAGCAGCCACCCTCTTGACCCAGGACAGAAGTATCTCCTCAAGGCAGTTGATATGTCTTGGTATTGAGTTGAAGGCGTTACCAAAAAAATCCAGGAGTTCTTTTCTTCTCAGAACGATCAGATTGAGTTTTCCGAGCCGTCGTACATTCCAAATTCTCATTAGATCCATCCAACTCTTTCCGAAATCCTCTGTACAGTCCTCAGATTGATACCAAACACTCTGAAATGTTCGTATTAGAGCTTACGGCGCGAATGACACGCGTTTCCAAATTTCTGGAGAAGTGAATTGTGCCATGGTGCTATTTTTTCTGAGAGACGGTGCCCAACTGACCCTGCTATACTGAGCAGTCGATAAAATAAAAAACAAAAAGCATGTTAAAATTTTAAAATATAAAATTGCGACAGTTTGGCTACATCACCCTATATATATATATATATATATATATGTATATATATGTGTGTGTGTGTGTGTGTGTGTGTGTGTGTGTGTGTGTGTGTGTGTGTGTGTGTGCATAAAATAAATCCTAAAGAGCCAGGAAAAAGCGTACCTAGGTTTCACCTTGACGGATCTTTGTCTTATATATATATATATATATATATATATATATATATATATATAATATATATATATCTATAATATATATTTTATTTATATATATATATATATATATATATATATATATATATATAGGAAGAAGATATATAACATATATATTCCTTATTTATATATATATATATATATATATATATATATATATATATATATATATATATATATATATATATATATATATATATATATATATATATATATATTACTTCTATAATATATATTATTATTTATATATATATATATATATATATCTATATTATATATATATATATATATATATATATATATATATATATATATATAGAGAGAGAGAGAGAGAGAGAGAGAGAGATCTATAATATATATATATATACTTAGAATACTAATTGTTGGTTATTGAAATTTATTCCAATGTTTTCTATATACTTATATATATATATATATATATATATATATATATATATATATATATATATATATATATATATATATATATATATATATATGTCATGGGTCCTTACCTATAACTACAGTAATGAACTCTTTCTAACACTTTTTTTATACTATGCCTCTCAAGAGAGAGAGAGAGAGAATACGAATCGAGCCGAGCCGATAGTAGTTCACACCAGACCAGACTGACAGTCATACTAACACCTTCCACAACTTGTATTATTATTTCGTGTAATATACTTTCGTTATTTCTACTCTTGTGTTCGTGTTGATTTTCCTTAATCCTAACCTAGACCATAAGAATATATATATATATATATATATATATATATATATATATATATATATATATATATATATATATATATATATATATATATATCCTTACGTGTACATCGTGAAATTTAAATTGTACAGTAGATAACTTTATTGTTTTTCATATCACGATTAAAAACATTTCAGATGATCACAACAATTTTCTTTTGGAAAAAACAATAATATTGACATTTTGCTTGTGAAAATAATTGGATTAAATGGATATGTATCAACATAGTAATTTCCTCTCTTTCTTCGATAAGGATACGAAGAAGCCTGTCCGTGAATATGAGAGGATCCTATTGAAAATAAGTAGACAAAACTTGTCTAAATTATTCAATTTATTTAACCGAACGCTACTCTGAGGCTCAATCGGTAAAAGCACGTCAGACTATATGGCAGTTCCGTATTCTGTCGGAATATTTTTTATGACATTTTCTTGGACATTCAGGCCGGTAAATGTTGTTAATACTGTTTATTATAAACAGAGCATTTACTTAAATATTTGTATCTATAAAAAGAATGCATAAACATAAAGATGTGTTAAAATAATTGTTGGACTTTGCCCATTTCATAATATATATATATATATATACAGATAGATAGATAGATAGATAGATAGATATGATCAGACTAAAATGGTACTAAAAAGAAGCTAAAAACATAAACACTTAACTAAAAATAGACAATGACATAAAATAATTATTAAAAGTAGAAACATTTATTAAATAAAGAAAAACCATAAGGTCAACTTCACGGGCAAACGAACATGCAGATTACTAAATCCCACAAAAAGCAATACTGGGAAAACTTTATTCAATTTTTTTTTCCTATCCTCTGTCAGCTCCAATGACGCTGAAAGCCATACGTGGCACCATCTTCAGTGAGACACGTTGCAAGAGGCTCGTCCCTAAATCGAGACGCCATCCCGCCAACCACCCGAAGGAAAGCCGTTGGCACATTTGGAATGTGCCTGAAAAACATACAGGTTGACTTGTGAGTGAAATTAGGCGCCGTCGATAGCAGTGCTGGTCACAAGTCACCGTGACCAAGGCCTTGAACGTGCTGACATTGTTCAAAGTGTTGTTCACGCTAGATAACACACTGTTTTCCAGAAACTGTAACTAATAAACATAAATGCCCGTGATCAATACTATGCGGGTATCCGAGAATATGAGTGGTCAGATATATATATATATATATATATATATATATATATATATATATATATATTATAAATATTAATTTACATCTGTAGAGACGGTATTAAAACCAAAGAAAATCAGTTACAGCCGGAAAAAAGTAAAAAAAAAACAAAAAGAAAAAAAAACCCTAAAAAACAAAGAAGGCTAAATAAGCGAACGTAAAGTGAAAAAAAAAAGAACGAAGAAAAGGGAAAAATGATTACGGCTTCGTACATGTACGCACATCCGCGCAGACAGGCGCACGCGAGTAAAAGCACACATGCAGAGACGCCGTACACACGGACATAGAAGAAAACTTACACCAGAGTAAAATCAGTAAATTGCTGATACCTACTGAACAGTGGACTGAAATGTTGGTCTATGGAACTCTGGAGTCAGGATGCTGAAAGAACCATCAATCAGCTAAGGGACATACTCACATTAATCACACACACACACACACACACACATATATATATATATATATATATATATATATATATAGAGAGAGAGAGAGAGAGATAGATAGATAGATAGATATGAGCAGGCACCGATAGACACACACACACACACACACACACACACACACACACACACATATATATATATATATGTAATTATGGAATTATTTCAAAGAAGTTCATTGTCACAGTTGAATTAGACCAGAAAACAGTAGTATTAAAAAATGCTCAGTAGACATATAAAAAGATAAAAATTTAAAATGTAGAGATTTTAAGTATAGAAAATTGGTGCCATGAGGACACATGCCACAGTGGATAAAGGCGTTCATTAGATCTAGTGACAGGACCCAAAGAGTGTGAGTTCAATACCTGGTTATGGTCGTGGAGAACTTGGTGTGGGGAATTAACAGGAGATAACTGATAACTGACACCCATTAGACATGACACCCCAGTCTACCCCAGCGAGGGAAATGAAGGGTTCAATTCGACATTCCAACCACCTGAGGAAGGTCGGAGCGTACAACGGTCGAAACGTTGTGACAAATATGGCAACAAAGATGAGGATGATAGTCCGAACAATGTAGATAGTGCACGTTATACCTCATCTCAGAAATATAGACAGATACGTTGTTTGATTGTTAATCTTTCCATGGTTGAAATTGCCAAAGACATAAGTTGTTAAATCTGGAGGAAAAAGAAAAAAAAATCATTAGACACTTAAACTTAATTCGCATTTAAAATCGATCCAAGTTATTGGAACGCCCTTTATTAATATTATCAATATCGAATATAAGGCAAAAAGTGCATTGAATTAATAAGGAGGCAGACTTTCTAGTTTTTACTGGTTTGAGACAGTGTGATCGTCAGACTAGTGAAACTGACAGTCGCCATGCTGTGTTGAACTGTATGTCCACACTGTCTATATATAGAATGTCTCTAATCCCGATATAGAACTCTCTTGTCCTATTCTGAAATGTTCTCAAGACGTTATAAATTAGCACGTTGGGTAATAACAAAAAAACTGGCTTGCTTTCTGATGCATACTTATCGGAGTTACTTTTTAATCATTTTTAGGTCATGAAATTGCGTGCGAAAGCAGCATTTTTTCTTTCTTTCTATGTTTTTTTTCTCTCTGTGATCACGTGATTATTTGGCATTTACAGTCGAAGAGGGAACGAACGGAAGGGGGGCGGGGAAATTGTAATCGTAGCAGACTGCAATAAAGGCCGGCACACCAAACACACAGACAGTAATCTTCAATGACGGACAGTCGAGCTGGGCTTCGGGCAGGTGATAACAAGACTACACACATGTAACTAATCCCACGTGAAAGGAATTACGGCCAGATGCAAGAACCAGAAGGACATAAAATATGGTGTCGATATTTATCTATCTACATGTAAACACACACACACACACAGACAGACACACAAACAAACAGACATATATATATATATATATATATATATATATATATATATATGTGTGTGTGTGTGTGTGTGTGTGTGTGTGTGTGTGTGTGGTGGTTGGTCTCGCTTGGAAAAACTTTTCAGGTAGCTCAACTTGCAGTAGAACAAATCGGTACCCGAGGAAAAATGGAGAATAAAAAAAAGAAAGAATCATGAACATTAAAAACAAGGCGAAAACAATCGACCAGTGTTCAAGATCCTTAGTATTATCTTATGCATATATATATATATATATATATATATATATATATATATATATATATATATATATATTTTAATAAGATTTCTCGAATATTCAGCGCGGTGGAGGAATAAATAAATATACTGCTTATTAAATAGACGGAGAGTCTATTCAAAAATGGTTATCCAAATTTATTACGAAAACTGACTTTCCCAGACATCATAGCTCGGGACTTAGGGTTAGACATTGGGGATCTGTGGACAGCTATACAAGATTGAACAGTGTGGGGAAGGGATTGTCAATGAAGTTCCGACCAAACATAAGGAGGTCGAAGGATGATGATGATGATGATTATGGTCATCCACTAAAAAATCTTTTAAGCAATAATAATAATAATCATATATAGTGCATATTTAGGCAGCATATTTTCATTCAAAAAGGTTTGTTTAAATAACCATATCATATCGATTAGTTTTCGCTGTGAACATTTCAAGTTCCCGGAGCCATTTTTTGGTAGACTTAGAAAATTGATTAAGAAAAACACCAAAGTCTTCTTTCAGATAGTTTTTATTTCTCAAGTACTATATATGTATGTGTGGGGGGGGTGTATGTGTGTACGTGTGCAATAATGTTATATACATTCTTATATATCAAGAACAATAAAACATGTATGAAGAAGTGGAAAAAAGACTTCCTGTGACGCGTTTCGTCCCTTACGACTTCATCGGACTAAGTTTGTTTATGTTGATACGAATACGCATGCGCAGAAACGAGGGACGTTGGGAAATTTCCATGTAAATTTTTTTATGTTTTTGGCATATAATCAAGCTTATTTCATTTAAATTTTTTTAAATGTCTTTCATTCCATCGCTTTTGCTGTTAAATATCCCACAATATGATAACAGAATTACTGCCAAGAATGACGAAATGTTGTGAGGAAAGGGGCGCAAATTTACTGTGCATGAACAAGAGATTAAAGCACTTCCTAAACATGTTCCGATTAGTGTATTTAAAGAGAAATTTATTCACTAAGACGAAAATCTGTTCACAGCATCCTCTGTAGAACTACATTTTGCTGCTTCAAGACTCTTCTTTAACTGTGAGGAGATTGTCCAGTATTTACAGCTATATAGAACTGATATTGCTTAAGAGTTCAGTTCTCTATTCTTTGTTTCCTCTGCTTAAAGGTCTGTTCTTCACCTGTGACGAGATTGTCCAGCATACACTGCCGTATAGGAGGACTGATATTACGTAACAGTTCAGTACTCTTTTCTTTGTTTCTGTTACGTCAAGTCTCTTCTTTATCTGTGAGGAGATTGTCCAGCATTCACTGTCATATAGGAGGACTGATATTACGTAACAGTTCAGTACACTTTTCTTTGTTTCTGTTGCTTCAAGTCTCTTCTTCATCTGTGAGGAGATTGTCCAGCATTCACTGCCATATAGGAGGACTGATATTACGTAACAGTTCAGAACACTTTTCTTTGTTTCTGTTGCTTCAAGTCTCATCTTTATCTGTGAGGAGATTGTCCAGCATTCACTGCCATATAGGAGGACTGATATTACGTAATAGTTCAGTACTCTTTTCTTTGTTTCTGTTGCTTCAAGACTCTTCTTCATCTGTGAGGAGTTTGTCCAGCATTCACTGCCATATAGGAAGACTGATATTACGTAACAATTCAGTACTCTTTTCTTTGTTTCTGTTGCTTCAAGTCTCTTCTTCATCTGTGAGGAGATTGTCCAGCATTCACTGCCATATAGGAGAACTGATATTATGTAACAATTCAGTACTCTTTTCTTTGTTTCTGTTGCTTCAAGTCTCTTCTTCATCTGTGAGGAGATTGTCCAGCATTCACTGCCATATAGGAGGACTGATATTACGTAACAGTTCAGTACTCTTTTCTTTGTTTCTGTTACGTCAAGTCTCTTCTTTATCTGTGAGGAGATTGTCCAGCATTCACTGTCATATAGGAGGACTGATATTACGTAACAGTTCAGTACTCTTTTCTTTGTTTCTGTTACGTCAACTCTCTTCTTCATCTGTGAGGAGATTATCCAGCATTCACTGCCATATAAAAGGACTGATATTACGTAACAGTTCAGTAATCTTTTCTTTGTTTCTAGTCTCTTCTTTATCTGTGAGAATATGGCCAGCTTTCACTGCCATATAGGAGGACTGATATTACGTAACAGTTCAGTACTCTTTTCTTTGTTTCTGTTGCTTCAAGTCTCTTCTTTATCTGTGAGGAGATTGTCCAGCATTCACTGTCATATAGGAGGACTGATATTACGTAACAGTTCAGAACACTTTTCTTTGTTTCTGTTGCTTCAAGTCTCTTCTTCATCTGTGAGGAGATTGTCCAGCATTAACTGCCATATAGGAGGACTGATATTACGTAACCGTTCAGTACTCTTTTCTTTGTTTCTGTTGCTTCAAGTCTCTTCTTTATCTGTGAGGAGATTGTCCAGCATTCACTGCCATATAGGAGGACTGATATTACGTAACAGTTCAGTACACTTTTCTTTGTTCCTGTTGCTTCAAGTCTCTTCTTCATCTGTGAGGATATTGTCCAGCATTCACTGCCATATAGGAGGACTGATATTACGTAACAGTTCAGTACTCTTTTCTTTGTTTCTGTTACGTCAACTCTCTTCTTCATCTGTGAGGAGATTATCCAGCATTCACTGCCATATAAAAGGACTGATATTACGTAACAGTTCAGTAATCTTTTCTTTGTTTCTAGTAGTCTCTTCTTTATTCAGAGAATATGGCCAGCTTTTCACTGCCATATAGGAGGACTGATATTACGTAACAGTTCAGTACTCTTTTCTTTGTTTCTGCTGCTTCAAGTCTCTTCTTTATCTGTCAGGAGATTGTCCAGCATTCACTGTCATATAGGAGGACTGATATTACGTAACAGTTCAGAACACTTTTCTTTGTTTCTGTTGCTTCAAGTCTTTTCTTCATCTGTGAGGAGATTGTCCAGCATTCACTGTCATATAGGAGGACTGATATTACGTAACAGTTCAGAACACTTTTCTTTGTTTCTGTTGCTTCAAGTCTCATCTTTGTCTGTGAGGAGATTGTCCAGCATTCACTGTCATATAGGAGGACTGATATTACGTAACAGTTCAGTAATCTTTTCTTTGTTTCTAGTCTCTTCTTTATCTGTGAGAATATGGCCAGCATTCACTGCCATATAGGAGGACTGATATTACGTAACAGTTCAGTACTCTTTTCTTTGTTTCTGTTACGTCAAGTCTCTTCTTTAACTGTGAGGAGATTGTCCAGCATTCACTGTCATATAGGAGGACTGATATTACGTAACAGTTCAGTACTCTTTTCTTTGTTTCTGTTACGTCAAGTCTCTTCTTTATCTGTGAGGAGATTGTCCAGCATTCACTGTCATATAGGAGGACTGATATTACGTAACAGTTCAGTAATCTTTTCTTTGTTTCTAGTCTCTTCTTTATCTGTGAGAATATGGCCAGCATTCACTGCCATATAGGAGGACTGATATTACGTAACAGTTCAGTACTCTTTTCTTTGTTTCTTTTGCTTCAAGTCTCTTCTTCATCTGTGAGGAGATTGTTCAGCATTCACTGCCATATAGGAGGACTGATATTACATAACAGTTCAGAACACTTTTCTTTGTTTCTGTTACGTCAAGTCTCTTCTTTAACTGTGAGGAGATTGTCCAGCATTCACTGTCATATAGGAGGACTGATATTACGTAACAGTTCAGTACTCTTTTCTTTGTTTCTGTTACGTCAAGTCTCTTCTTTAACTGTGAGGAGATTGTCCAGCATTCACTGTCATATAGGAGGACTGATATTACGTAACAGTTCAGTAAAACTTTTTCTTTGTTTCTGTTGCTTCAAGTCTCTTCTTCATCTGTGAGGAGATTGTCCAGCATTCACTGCCATATAGGAGGACTGATATTACGTAACAGTTCAGTACACTTTTCTTTGTTTCTGTTGCTTCAAGTCTCTTCTTCATCTGTGAGGAGATTGTCCAGCATTCACTGCCATATAGGAGGACTGATATTACGTAACAGTTCAGTACTCTTTTCTTTTGTTTCTGTTGCTTCAAGTCTCTTCTTTAACTGTGAGGAGATTGTCCAGCATTCACTGCCATATAAAAGGACTGATATTACGTAACAGTTCAGTAAAAACTTTTCTTTGTTTCTGTTGCTTCAAGTCTCTTCTTTATCTGTGAGAAGATTGTCCAGCATTCACTGCCATATAGGAGGACTGATATTACGTAACAGTTCAGTACACTTTTTCTTTGTTTCTTTTGCTTCAAGTCTCTTCTTCATCTGTGAGGAAAATGTCCAGCATTCACTGCCATATAGGAGGACTGATATTACGTAACAGTTCAGTACTCTTTTCTTTGTTTCTGTTGCTTCAAGTCTCTTCTTCATCTGTGAGGAGATTGTCCAGCATTCACTGTCATATAGGAGGACTGATATTACGTAACAGCTCAGTACTCTTTTTTTTGTTTCTGTTGCTTCAAGTCTCTTCTTCATCTGTGAGGAGATTGTTCAGCATTCACTGCCATATAGGAGGACTGATATTACATAACAGTTCAGAACACTTTTCTTTGTTTCTGTTGCTTCAAGTCTCATCTTTATCTGTGAGGAGATTGTCCAGCATTCACTGTCATATAGGAGGACTGATATTACGTAACAGTTCAGAACACTTTTCTTTGTTTCTGTTGCTTCAAGTCTCTTCTTCATCTGTGAGGAGATTGTCCAGCATTCACTGCCATATAGGAGGACTGATATTACGTAACAGTTCAGTACACTTTTCTTTGATCCTGTTGCTTCAAGTCTCTTCTTCATCTGTGAGGAGATTGTCCAGCATTCACTGCCATATAGGAGAACTGATATTATGTAACAATTCAGTACTCTTTTCTTTGTTTCTGTTGCTTCAAGTCTCTTCTTCATCTGTGAGGAGATTGTCCAGCATTCACTGCCATATAGGAGGACTGATATTACGTAACAGTCCAGTTCTCTTTTCTTTGTTTCTGTTGCTTCAAGTCTCTTCTTCATCTGTGAGGAGATTGTCCAGCATTCACTGCCATATAGGAGGACTGATATCACCTAACAGTTCAGTATTCTTTTCTTTGTTTCTGTTGCTTCAAGTCTCTTCTTCATCTGTGAGGAGATTGCCCACTTTACTGCCATATAGAAGGACTGATATTATCGACATTTTTAAGGTTATTTAAAATTGGGACATATTTTTCGATTAAAAAAATACTTTTGGGGAGTTAATAATGATTTTCTGATGATTTACTATTTAACCCATAGGTGGATGGAGAAGAGCTGGATTCATACCTTTGCCAGTGGGCATTAGCACGTAAGTGTCGAAATTCGAACTCGGCTCTCAAACGTCTCCTTCCGAGCCTCTAACTATTACACCGCTCGCACGTCCAAGCTTACAGTACCAGAGCCGTGGTCCATCTAGGTAGTGAGCAAATTTCAACGTTACTTAACATTCTGGTGTAAGCCTTACTATTCAACCCATAGCTGGGAAGAGAAGATGTGGTTTCATGCCTTTTCCAGAGGTATTAGAACGTAAGTAACGAACCCGACTGGAATTCGAACTCGGCTCTCCGATTTTTCATTCCCAGCTGTTATCCATTCCAAGCTTATAGCAACTGGTATTCCCGAACGGTCACCCGTGTAGGTACTGACCAGGCTTCAATGTTACTTACCTTCGACGAGTGCACGAGAGTCAGTGTTTCAACGCCTCTAGGATTGTGTAGAGACAAAAGAACGGGTGGAGGGTTAAATGCCAGCATCCGTAGAGAATAGGGAGATGGGAGAGAGAGAAAGAGAGATAGAGAAAGAGAGAGAAGAGAGAGAAAGAGAGAGAAGTGAGAGAAAGAGATAGAGAAAGAGAGAGAGAAAGAGAGAGAGAGAAAGAAAGTGAGAGGAAGAGAGAGAGAAAGAGAGAGAGAGAAAGAAAGATAGAGAGAGAAACGGAGAGAGAAAATAAGAGAGAAAGAGAGAGAGAAAGAGAGAGAGAAAGAGAGAGAGAAAGAGACAGATAGAGAATGAGAGAGAAAAGAGAAAAAGCGAGAAAGAGAGAGAGAGAGAGAGAGAGAGAGAAAGATATAGAAAAGATAGAGAAAAGAGAAAGAAAGAAAAGAAAGAAAAAAAGAGAGAGAGAGAGAAAGAGAGAGAGAAAGAAAGAGAGAGAGAAAGAGAGAGAGAGCGAGAGAGAGCTAGCTAGCTGTTGTTGTTAGCGTTGCCAACAATATCAACGAGGCCTCGGCATAATTAGCGCAGCAAGGCAATAACAGACGATGTTATAGATAAAACAAAATATGGCTTCGCCCGAAAGACGTACAGACCTTCCGTGCAATAAGCGCAGACACAACAGCACTCATTCAGAAGCGTCTGTGTGTCCATCGCATGCTAAATCTGATAGCAATCTCGTTTGTTCCTTGGAAGCCAACTGTTGTCATGGTAACGCCTCCGGCAGAATGAATTTCATCTTTTGTGGTCATCTTCATCCGAAAGCCGTTATGGCCACTGGGGAAATGACGCCATGATGGGCGCTGTTCTTAATTGCCAACTCATTCGTATTGTTTTTTTTTTTTGTTTTTTTTTTTTTTTTTTTTAGAGTAATTAGGTTTATTTATCGCGTATCTTTCTGAAATTTATTTTGTTTGTTTGTGCATTGAAGTTAATTGGGACGGATTTAGTTTGTTTTTCAGATTTCGTTTTCTTTTTTGAATTTGTTCTAATATTTAAGCTATATTACTTATTGATCATTTTTTCTATGTTTTTTTTGTTTTTTGTTTTTTTTTTGCCTTTAATCAATTCACTTCAAACAAGGCGATAATACCACTAAGACTTTGTACCCATCATTTCCAGTTTATTCGTATCCATCCTTTTCGCATTCTCCATATCTAGTTTTCAGTCTTTTTGCCTATATTTTTTCAGTCGGTTTAGTATCAACAGGGAGTGATGGTTGAATTGTCGCCATTTTATATTTTTAATTTCGCGCATGCGCGTTGTTTGTTTTTGATTTTGTCAACTGCACAGTATAATATTTTCAGTTAGGCAGATTCTGTGAGAAAGAAAGAACACCATGACGCAATTTACTCTGGCGGAAATTCAAAAATGGCATGCTGCACTGATTGGCATTCGCACCGGAAGCTCCAATACAAACATTTCAGAGTGTTTGGGTGTCAATCTGAGGACAGTGCAGAGGATTTCGGAAAGAGTCTGGTGAGTCTAATGTTGATTACGAAGGTAACGCAATTCGGAAAACTCACCCCGAGCGTTCTGATAAGAAAAGAACTCCCGAATTTGTTGGTGAGGGCCTCGGATTCAACACGGAGGATTACATCAATTGCCTTGAGGAAGGTAGCTGTTGGAAAACCCTATGACTGACAACAGGACTCTGCGCCATGCCACACAAGCAGAAGAACCCATCATGACTGTCAGACAATTTCTGCGAGAGAGACAGAGAGAGAGAGACCAGGAAAGATAAAATAAGATTGGAGAGACACGTCCTCTAGTTTTGCCGGAGTTATTTCCCTGTCATGTTGACTCTTTACGGGGTGGAGTTGATCATCCCACGTTCAACTGATTGGGAATTTAAAGTTATCCTGATAGTCTAGGAGAAGGATAACTCTGAAACTTGACCAGAGAGCCCAGTATGCCCTACTTTTTAACCCATATTTAGGGAGGAAGAAATCGGTTCATTACTGATATAATGGAATATTCATACACCTGAGCTCCCCCTCACTGGAATATGATTGGCTGGTGTCCGTCATAAATACAGACGGACGTGTAGGTACGACAGAGTTTAAGTCTATGACGACGCTCATTGGACTACGCCATTGTCTATCCTATTGGTCTACACCTATTACCTGCGACTAAGTCGAGTACCAGTCGATTACCGCTACCATATTCTACTTGGATAAAGTAGCCAAAACCACTTAGCTACTTCGCTCAAATATATCCCTTTCCGGGACATATCAATAACTTTCCCAAGTGAATTTGTGCGAGAGAACGCAACAAGTTCTGCCGAAATTTGAACTCGGCATGCTGATCCCACTACTTCTTGAAGTGCTGTGTCCTCTCAGAACGTATGCGATCATAGCTCTCCACAATTTCCTGTCCTTTGTAAGACATGTATAAAATTTGTCTTGTTCTTATTTTTCTTAACCCTTATTCGGTCATCCATTTACACAAGGTTCTTCTTCTATGTACCGGGTCCCTTCAAAACGTTCGCGATCAAGGCTCTCCACCATTTCCTCCCCTTTGTAGCTCTTGTATAAATGTTGTCTCTTTGTTATTTCTCCTAAACCCTGTTCCGCCATTCATTTTTTCAAGCTCACTATGTTATGCGTTTTCCTCTTTTCTTGTTGCCTTCAATATGTCCTGTGAGTATCAGATTTTCCAAGCCCTCTTTCTTCATTATGTGCCCTAGAAATGTCAACTGTCTCTTCCTGATGTTAAGTAGATGTCTCCTTTTTGTTTCCATTTTCTCTAAAACTTAGTCCTTTCATATTGGCTTGTATTTTGGTTTGCATAATGGTAAAGACATGGATATCTAAAGCTCTCCAGCGAACTCAAGAACTACATTAGAACCGATCCAACTGGAAAAAATACGTAACCAGAAAGTAAATAGACAATCAGTTGGATCCATTTGTTGGAAATTAATGCAAGAGTCAATGGCCAAGACAAAAGAAATTCTCTTTGACTAGGGTTATCGAAATGCCATCAATGAGGTTAAAGTCACCGTTAGAGACATCATTCAAAAATAGAGAAGGAACACGGCCAGACTGTGTCCCGAGTAAAGAACGTTCCTGTAAAGTAAATAAACAATGCAAAAAGCCATTCACGAGGAGAACTTCAGAAAGGTCTGCAGACATCTGGATAAGTAGAGATGCAATTGAACTGATCTTCCAATGTATCGGACTCCATTCTTGAACGCCTCGGGTGAAATGACGCAACAGTCATTGCCAGACTCGGAAGTTGCTTTAAGTACTTTCGATCTTCTTCCCAGATCATCTTCAGGGGCGCAAGTGGTATAAGACAATATGTTGTTGATTAGTATAAGTATTTATACAAATATGTCCGTTGTTATTCATTACTGTAAATTTTTTTCATTATACTTTTAAATGCAAAACGGTTGACAATGTGCCGAGCGTTCATTAGAACGTGAAAGTACTTGGGAAATGAAACTAAAAGAAATTTAAACAGCTAGAGCACATTTCTCTCATTCTTTAACATCAATACACGCAAGGTTATTCGTGAGTATGAACGGATTTTATTAAAAATTAGCAGACATAATGTCTGTAATTTATTCAATTAGACATGCTTAAAAGAGAATTTGCTGCCTACACACACACACACACACACACACACACATATATATATATATATATATATATATGAGTGTGTGTGTGTGTGAATATATTGATAAAATAGGAAAGAACCGTGAGATTGATGATCCGAAGGTTTTTTTTTATTATTTTTGTTTTTATTTAAAAAAAAAAAAACTGTGCTCAATACAAAAGCAGAGCCTAGATTATCATTATTTTTTTTTAAAAATATGATTCTATCGCTACAGTGGAATTACCATGTTTCAAAAAACAGAAGCTAAAAACTTCCAATTCAATTATAGAAATTAAATTAAATTAAAGTACCTAGTTCTGTTTCATTTTCAACTGAATTTTGGAATAACTTATTTTAAAATTTATGGAGCTTTATAAAGCACATGCATTCATAATATTATATTAATAAGGGGCGGTAGGGTATTCATTTTCACTAACAACTACTGACATCTATATATATATATATATATATATATATATATATATATATATATATATATGACGCCTGTCTTGCCATCTATCTTACCAAAATTACATTTAGCCACCCACAGTGTACAAGAGCCCATAAAGAAAATTCTAGTTGAAAACATGATCATCCTTCATAAATCCAGGAACCGAAAACATGTCGATGTCAGAGAAGCTCTCAACATAATACATCGGGCACCCAGTTTTAATCTCACCTTATATAACAACGGATTTTTTTTTAATAGAAACCTCCATTTCCGGTTCCTTCCTGGCTCAGAATAAAGGTTACTACTATATAGGTGCCACAAACCGACAACTATTTTTCTGGGTTTTCAAGCCCTCAATAAATGGCTAAAGAAGTGGTCGAGAGTGCTTAGTACAAACAACACTACGGAAATTTTATAAACTAGTCCACCACTAAAAAAAAAAAAAAAAAAATTTAAAAAGATATTTTTATGTTTATATATTTTTATGTTTTATGTTAAATTCATGGATTGTATTTAAAAGCAGACGACCGAACGCTGGGCGTCAGGCTATTATGACGGTTCTGTAAGATACAGGTTCGAATCCTGTCAAGGACGAATATTTTTCTATGAAAATTTCTCGGACATCCAGTAAATATTGTTTAAACTGTTTATTATAAAAATAGTTTCAGGGTATATGACGGTTCTGTATAGGATACAGGTTAATCCCTGTCAAATATTTTCTAAAAAAGTCTCGGATATTCAGGCATTAAATGTTGTTTAATACTGTTTATTATATAAACAGAGCACGTCAGGCTATATGACGATCTTTTATAGGATACAAGTTCGAATCCTGTCGAAGCACGAATATTTTCTATGAAAATTTCTCGACATTCAGGCCGGTAAATGTTATTTAATACTGTTTATTATAAAATAGAAATGACGAATACAGGTTCGAATCCTGTCAAAGGACGAATATTTTCTATGAAAATTTCTATAGGCCGGTAAATGGTGTTTAATACTGTTTATTATATGATAGCACAGGCTATATGACGGTTCTGTATAGGATACAGGTTCAATTCCTGTCAAATGACCTATTTTCTATAAAATTTCTCAACATCCAGAGATTGGACACTGTTTATTATAAACATAGCACGTCAGGCTATATGGGTTCTGTATAGGATATTCGAATCCTGTGTATTTTCTATGAAAATTTTTCTCCATCAGGCCAGTAAATGTTGTTTTAATACTGTTTATTATAAACATAGCACGTCAGCTATATGAAAAACATAGGATACAGGTTTCGAATCCTGTCAAAGGACGAATATTTTCTATGAAAATTTCTCCGGATATTCAGGCCAAAATGTTTAAATTCCAGTTTTGTTAAATATTTGTATCTATAAAAAGAATGTATAAACATTCTTAAAATAAATGTCGGATTCGTTCCATAATATATATGTTTTTTTTTGTTAGAGAAACGAGTAAGATATGGAAGACGTTGTCATGGAAGGGCGTCTTGTGGGAGGAATAAAAAGGATCTGCAATGGTAAGGATGTCAGTTGAGGCTTATCTTCAGATCTAATCTGGAAAAAAGCCTGTTCTAAGCATCTGCCGATAAGAATGACATCGGAGGAAAATGGAAGGAAGAGAGAAACGAAAAGATAAAAAACAAAATCTTTCTATTCATTTTTTACGGTCTATCAACCCTTTGCAGGTTATTTATAAGCAGGAAATATTTTTAGATGGTAAGAAATTTTTTTTGGTTGGGGAGATAATAATGATTTAACGATACAAGTCTTACTACTTAACCCATAGATAGGGGTCTTTCTTTTTCCATCTGATAACGAACTATCTATCTCCGATTTTACAATCCCGAGACATTATTCATTACACCAACCACATATCTAAGCTTCCAGCATCTGGTAGTCCCAAGCGGTCACCCATCTAAGTACCGGCCAAGCAGGACGTTGCTTAATTTCGGTGATCGTGATATAAGAAAAAAATAAAAAGTAAGAAATAAGAATGGATGAATCCTATTTTTTTTTTTTTTTTAAAAAAGATCAGTGGAAAATGTCCTGAAGCCATTTTCTGACCTTAGGTCTCTTTGGGACCCGAAGGAACTATGTATACAACGGATATCAATGGAAAATAATAATAATAATAATAATATTGGGTTGGTGCATAATTATCAGGCGTTTTTTATATAATATTTATTCTGAACAAAAGAAACATAACAATTCAACAATAACATTTTTAAATGATTATTCCGAAGCGCATGATTATCGACACGCATTTCTATAACCTGAAAATAAAATAATATTTTTATTAAAGAAAAAATCTAAACAAAACAGCAATTTTTATGAACAAGTAACTCGCCTAAAGAAACGCCTGTTTTTTATGCACCAACCCAATAATAACAACGTACTCATTTGTGTTTACATAGTGCAGGGTTAAACGCAGAAGGCGAAGGTTTCATTCTTGCTGCACAGGAGCCATGCTTACTAACTAGAAATTACCAAGAACACGTACTGAAAAATTGTGTTCACCCTAAATGTAAATTGTGTGATAAATATCCCGAAACAAGTGACCATCTTGTATCAGGTTGCACAGTGTTAGCAAACACTGAATATAAAACCCGGCATGATAGGGTAGGTCAATATCTCTGCTGTTCATTCTGCAACTTTTACGGGAAGGAAACTGCAAGAAACTGGCATCACTAAGATTCAGTTACAGAGAGAGGACATGTTCCCCAGACTTCATGGTTGTCAAGCGACCTACGAGGCTGGCATCTTTTCACTTACAAACTTTTAAATGTAGACGTCTTTCTTCCAATAGCTTCATATCTCGCACCCCCCTCGAATGGGAACACCTTCCCTATTCCTGTTTCCCTGAGAGCTATAATCACCAACTATTCAAATGTAATGTCAATTGACATCTCCATTTACCTTGATCTATCCACTATCCTTCTCTCATCCTTTCTTCTATCTCCTATCTGATCTTGCTCCATCTTCTGCAACCCCTTGCGTCCTAGTGGCTTCCCATTGCTCTGCTTAAAAAAAAAATCTGGAACTTTATAATACACCCAGAGAGAGAACAATCAAAGCTAATCACCCAGACATCGGGATCAAAGACCACAAAAACAAAATGTGTTTTCTTATCTATGACAGTCTTTCTAGATTGTAATCTATCTTTGAAGATCTTTTTAAAAAAAACTAACCAAATACGAAGATCTTGAAGTGGAAATCTAAAAATGTCATCAATAATTCCAGTTAAAGTTGGAATCCATTGGTTAGAAAAGGTTCCGATAGACTATATTGAAAGGATTCCTTGTTGACCAGGCCTTAAAGAAATACCAAAATTTTACTCACAAAACAGCTCACACATTACAAAGAGATTTATCTTTACGTAAATCTTTTTTTTTTTTTTGAAAATTTTCAGTAAAAATGGACATTTCTGACCTTAGATTTTTGTTGGGAACCGAAGTAAACAACAGAAATCCAAAGAAAAATAAATAAATAAATAATAATAATGACAACAACAGTTAGAAAAGGGTGCAATTTAAGAAAAAGAAAAAACAGTGCTTAACAATGCTCGGCAATATTTCGACAGCATGTATCTCCTCTTTAGGTTATATTGAATTCCATACAAGTATAAAAATGTAAAATGAACTACAAAAACTAGACAAGCTATATTTGTACAAAGACATATAATTAATATGGTGTCTATGTAGTCCAACACTAGCAGTGGTTTACCTATTTCACGCCGCTGGCGAGTATTATATTTTGTTGATGTTATAAAGATTATGATTTCATTTCCAACCTCCATTTTGGTTATTCCTCATTCAGTAACCTTTTCTAGGTTACAAAAGAAAGAAAGAAAGAAAGAAAGAAAGAAAGAAAGAAAGAAAGAAAGAAAGAAAAAATGATGACATTAGAAATAAAGAAAGACGACATGGAATAAGAAAGAAAGAAAGAAAGAAAGAAGGAAAGAAATAAAAAATGTGGGATTTACATTATCTAAAAAAAAATACGACATCTATCTCAATGTCTATCGAGCTATGAACACTAAGGGGTATGTCCCAATTCATAAATACGTTGGACACTATAT